TTAACTGTGTATAAAATTACTGTGGAAATTAAAAGAAAGTGGTAGCACTGTGTTCAGGCTCATGCATCTTTTAGGACCAAAGGACACAGGCTGTCTGGTTGTGAATGAGTGTTACAGGCTAAATTAGAAAAGGATGACCTCAAACAGCACATGACGGGCAGTGGGCATTGTGTCTGAAGTGAGACTGAATTTGCAAAAGCTTCGGTGGTGCTTAACTGGGAGGCTATCATTACCAGGAAGTGGAGGCAAAGCTTCTGCAGAAGACAGGGAGATATGCTTTACATTGCTCTCTCTTAAATTGTCACTTTGTACCACTTGCCTTGTAGAAGTTAACAAAATACAGAATGTTCCATGCATATTTACCTCTTTAGTCCCAGGAACTAACAATTTTACTGTAAGTTTATGCAGCTTTTAGGGCAGTGAGTCTTGATCACCCCAGATTCTAGGCAGTATTTGACATTAAAAAATAAAGAAGGGCTTTTTTCTCTTCACAGTTGTTTAACTTACTAGAAATTGAATTTGACTAATTTAAATTCCCTAAATGTTGTACAAACTTGTTGTGGCATGGCTATAATGTAATAGGTGTTAATTATGACTGCTTTAAGTATTAGTTTTTGGCCTGTCCAACATAAGGTGTAATTGATTTGAAGACAGATTTAAATGGAGGTGAATAGTGTTTGATTATGAGGTGGTTGATGCAAAGCATTTATTCTAACATTTCAGAATAGGGATTGGTAGATGTCATGAAGGTGAATTAAATGGAAAGTTCTTTTCAGGTGGAAATATGCAAACTTCTTGAAAATGTTTCTTTTCAGTAAAAACTTCAAAATTCTTAAGGTTATCTTAAGAACTTGTGTCATTATAGCAGTGCAGGCTAGTGAGGAAAATACATTATTTTTTAAATTTCACTGTAGAAAAACAGGAGCTTAATTAGCAGTGCCTTAAATATTTGCCCTAATGGTTGATAGGGTTGAGGAGAACTTGATTCTAATGTCCAGAATTGCTGAGCAGTGTTCAAGTTGTTTTTGCCCTCCTATGGCACAGAGGAGTGAAAATAGGATGTGTTGTAAAGCCCTTGACACATTGTAATATTTGAATATGCTGTGGCTATGAATTGTATTGGAATGGATATCAAAATTCAGAAGTGGTGATGTGACATGTTTAGCCTGCCTCACTTTACACCTCGGTCTCAAAACTGCTAATTTACTAAGTAAATTGAAGATTGTGCAGCATGAGCTATGTGGTCATTTTTAGGTATATAGACTGAAAAAATTATTCAAATGTTTCTTAAAGCAATGCCAAAGTTAAGGAAATAAACATTTCCTTGAATACCTAATCTAACTAAACTAACCCCCTTAAAACTGGGAATTTTTACAAGACTTGAACAATTTAAAATAACATTTTTTAGTTAGCTTAGATTTTTTGACTGGGTGCTTGATCTAAGCACTGGGAAAAAAACGATGCTTTTAGAGGGCAAGAACTGGAACCACATAAAAGTAATGCTGGAAATTACTTTTTTCTGGGAAATACGGAGAGGCAGAAGAAAAGTAAATAGGTGTGTAGGTGGAGGAGACTACTGCTGGCTGAGCAGCTGGGTTTGGGTTTAGGAGACCCATGGGAACATTGCAAAGAGAGAACTGTGGCTGCTGAGCAAAAATGTCATAGTGGGGAGCTTGGAAGCAAGGGAACAGGGAAAGAATGAGATGGCTTAGCAATTCATATATGCTGGGGGAGAGGCAGGAATGGAATTGTGGGGGGATAGGGAGACGGAAGATGAAGGCATCTGAATTGGGATTAAAGACTGGAAGCATGGAAATTGAAAAAGGAATTAGGAGATAATCGAGATAAAGTAACTAGGAGCTGTTGTGAAGAAAGAAAATGAAAAGGAATAAGAAAGAAGTGTTGAAATTCAGACTAAAAATTAGCAGAAGAATCTGGCCTCTATGGTCTTGTCCTGCCCCATTTCTAAATGAACCTGATATTCCTGAACACCTTCTTTCATCAAAGTATCTATCCCATCCCCTGTAATTACTGCTTTTGGTCATAATAAAACTTTAGGAACTAGTATAGGTGCTGTCAAAAGTGCACACTATAGGTGCACAATTAGGCTTCTGCATTGTGCAGGTGTCATAATGACACTAGGAAGTGTTAAAAACTTTCTGATTATAAAAACAGAGCCCTAGGGAAATGAATATGGTCAGTGCTGATGAGTTGACTGATGTTAGGAGATGTGTATTATTTCAGAGGGTGGCATCTGCTCTTGTGTACATATATGGATAATATCTGATGGATAAATCTCAGTCTGCATGGTGGAGGCAATGCCACTGATGGTGTTGGGCAGAGCTACCTGGCAGGTGCATGGTGCTGTGGCTTTGTGTGACAAGGAATGCATGGTTGCATGGCCCTTACTTGTCACTGACAGTTGAGTTTCTAAGCTGGATTTTAGGCCTATGCTATTTCAGAAAAAGTGGGATTTGATCAGTGCTGTGGTTTGGCTGTGCCAGCAGCCTGTTTGAAAAGTGGGGAGTGGGAATGTGCAGCTGGTGTAGGAGAACAAAAGTGCTGCTCTTCATGGCCACACAGCCTGTGTGGACACACATTTATTGTGAAATCTCAACTGTTTTCTCTGGAAGTTAAATAAGATGGGAGACTGCTGCAGAGGAAAAGGTAGTCTCAATAGTAGAGCTGCCTACATTGTTTCCTCTACATGTGACTTTACTGCAGAAAAATGGGCACGGCTTTTCACAGGAGGCCAACAGCCTGATGTGGTAACACTGAACATCCCAGTCAGAGATGAGCTGCTAGGAGTTTTGCTCTAGCAGTAGAAAATGTTGGCTCATATTCCATCCTCCAAAATAAGATAAGCCAAGTGGGTGTCCTTTGCTTGAAATTTTGTTTTTCTTTTCCCATCTTTTTAAATAGGAAGAATGCTCCTATGAGGTAAGGGAAGACTATAGAATATGTTGCTGTTTAAAGCACTCAGTCACAACAGTGTTGTTCTCTATTAAAAAATAATAAAAATCTGAAGTATTCTGAAAGTACTTACTGGGCTCTTCTATTATAAAAAAAGTTTAATCAAATAATTGAATTGGCTTTTAAGTGAACCCTCTTACATACTGAGCAAGATGGGCCACCCACAATGTGGCTTGTTCATTAAGTCCTTTGTTTCAAGAGATTATTTTCAAAAAAATCAAGAAATTTTCTTAAGAAATCAGACATTAATAAAACCAGAGAAGAATTTTAAAGAAATTTGTTCAAAAATAAAGTGCTTGTCTTTTGCAGTTCGAATAATTTTCCTTTGAGTTTTTTGTTTGTTTGGTTTGGGGTTTTTTTGGGTTGGGTTTTTTATATGTGCAGATATTTCTGCTTTTAAGAGAGACATTTGGAAAAATCTTAAACTAATTAGGAAACTTTGTTTTCTTTGATTTTTCCTTTTTTCAATAAAAAAAGCAAACTGGCCTGATTTTTTCTCTGTCCAGAAATTCTGTGTATAAAAATCTAGATCTAAGATGCCATACACCTCTGCACTTTCCAAATACCATTGCAGGCAAAACAGACTGAGCTTGGAGATAATCACTGAGTTTACTACAATGAAAATCAGAGTGGGATGAGAAGTAAAATAAGTCTTAAAAACACGTTTCCACCACTCACCCCTCCTTCTTAGGCTCTACCTTCTCACCTGCAGTGGTACAGGGAGACAAGGAATGGGGATTTTGGTCAGTTTGCCACAGTTGGTTTCTTCTGCTGCTCAGGAAGAGGAGTCCTTCCCCTGCTCCACCATGGGGTCCTTCCTACCGGAGACAGTTCTCCACAGATTCTTTCAATGGGCTTCCTACAGGCCACAGTTCACAAATTGCTGCAATATGGATCACTTTTCCCTGAGGTGCAATCCTTCAGGGTCACAGGTTCTAGCAGCAAACCTGCTCCAGTGTGGGTTTCTCTCTTCATGGGTCTGCAGGTCCCTGCCAGGAGCCTGTTCCACCACTGGCTTCTCTTTGATTCACAGCTTCCTTTCAAGCATCCACCTGCTCTGGCATGGGATCCTCCACAGGCTGCAGGTGGATCTCTGGCTGTCTTGTGGGACTCTATGGGCTGCAGGGACAGAGCTGCTTCACCGTGGGCTGCAGGGGAATCTCTGCACTGGTGCCTCCCTGGTACCAAAATCTAGCCACACAAACCCCATACAGCAAGCTTTCTACTTATTAGCATATTTAGGATTGCAATCTTTTTGGGGGCTTGGTTTTTTCTTTCCGTGTTCTGTGGGTTTTTTTATAGAATCAGTTCAGTATTATTTGACAGAAATTGGTTAATCTGTTGTCATCAACGCCATGCCATGGAGATTCTTTTTCGGTTTGGAGGAAATTATCTTAGACTTCTGATCTCTGCTGCCTGCTTGATACTGTGTTGCACCAGTTCTGTGATTCCTGTCAAGGGGGACATCTAGGCAGAAAATGGGATGGCTGGGTGGAAGCATGAGGACACTGACGGGGAGGTGAGAGTGCAGGCTGAAGTATGGGATCTTATGGCTGGATCACAGGATCCCTCTCTTTTTTTTTCCCATCTTAGTGTATGCTTTGTCTTTTATTAGCTGATGTGGAAGCACATTGTGCTGCTTTGTGGTGACAGCAGGGGCCACAGCAGCCCCACATGTCTGCAAGCCATCCCTGCAGGCTGCCACTCCAGAGAAGGTCATTGCTCCCACTGTGGGCAAGGGAGGGGTCACCTGCTTACAATTAATTTGCTGCACCCACATCAGGAGATGGAATACATGTCTGTTCATATTAGGAAATTTCATATGCCTAAAGTATTTTGGGAAGAAACCCAAACCTTTGTCAGAATAAAGTTCTTATTGCTGAAAAACTTCAAACTGATGAGTCAGCAGCTATTTTTATTCATGAATTACATTAAAAAAAAAACCAAATCAAATTAATTTCAATTACTTGGGTCTTAAAATGTATAAGTGTTGCAGAGTATCACTTCTCAACTTTTCTTGTTTTCAGAAACAAGACACTGGACAAATTTTGTTGGATATGACCTATAATCAGCTGGGTGTGACAGAGAAGGAATATTTTGGTTTACAGCAAAATGAGAATTCAGTAGATTCACCTGTAAGTATAGTAAATAAAAAATGTGTGTGCATGTATATGTGTGTATAAATATGTACACATGCATGTATACACACATATTCATGCACACACATGCACATGAATAAACAATATGTATTTGCAAATATTTTTAATCCATCTAATAGTTTTTCATTTCACAGCGATGGCTTGAACCAAGCAAACCTATTAGGAAACAGTTAAAAGGTAAGATTTGTTTTTACTATCTTGATTGTAACTTTGAAGTTCTGTTTTTCTATGTTATGACTAGAACAAATGCATATTGTCCAGATGGTAGATTTTTCTTCAAGTCTTGTGTCTGCAAGTCATTTCAGCAGATCCTTCTACTTCTCCTTACTCCTACTTGGGTGGAAATAAGACCTGGTAGATCATTAACTTTGATGCTATAATAGCAGCTAAACCTGGTTTCTGAGCAGTATTAGACATGCTTAGATGGCCATGAAAGCAATAGTCATATTGTGGTGCCAGTGAATTCCTCCTGAGAGGGAAGCAAAGGAAAAGGGGTTTTGATTGAGGGAGGCATAGCCAGTTTTGTGTATAGATTCTGGCAATTTCTTGTCACACGTACAATAAGAAACCCCAAATTTATGCATTTTTATTAAAAAACAATTAACCAGAAAAACAATGCCACACACTTCCAGGTGCATTTGTTGTTCTAGTATATCTTGTTTTGTACAGCTTTGGGTAACACAGAATGCTTACCAAGAAGGACAGGCAAGCTGGCATAACCCTGGCTGGAGAGCAGCTTAGGAGGCCTGAGTGGCACTGTCCCAGTTTGTGCTGTGTAACACTTGAGCTATGTTTTTCAGCACTCTCGTTTCTACCTTGTGCTACAGATCATGCATTTTTGTTTCAATTCATACACAAAAGTAGCATGTTGGACTTCTGTAATTTAATGTACTTATATGTAAGATAGAACTGAGCGTTATCCCAGCTGGGGCACCTTAAATATATTTAGTGCTTTTCTCCCTTCTAATACTTAGCAGGCAAAGGAAAGTCAATAATGCCTTTATGCAAAGTAGTATATGCAAAGTACTTTAAATGAAAGCATTACTATAGTTGACAGTATTTTTTTTCAAAGTTGGTGTTGGGCACCAGGAGGGACTTCTCATAGTTTCTTTTAGTTTCATGAAAAACATATATGAGATTTCTAAGTCATTGTTCATGTAATTTTTCTGTAAAAATAGAAATGAAAATATGAGGCTCTTTCTGTTTTAAAGTAATGATTGATTTGCTCTTCTAAAATATTGCAGGAGGTTTTCCCTGCACGCTTCATTTTCGTGTAAGGTTTTTTCTACCTGATCCTAACACACTTCAGCAAGAACAAACAAGGTAACTTCTGTTTGCTGTTTGCTTCTGTGAACTAAGAATGTGTCTTGCCCATGACTGCAGCTTGGCAAATTATGCTTCATTACATAGATAACTTTGTATAACTTGGTATTGAATACATTTGGAATGGAGGGCTTGATGCCATGTTCATGATGAATAGTTTCTGAGTAGTTCAGCTTACAGGATACAGCTGGAGTATAGGTTAGTACAAAGATGGTAGGTGTTAAAATATGTTTATTTCCATCTTGAATTTTTTTGGAATCTGCATGCCCTGGGTCTGTCTATCTTAGAAGTTTTGTATAAACACTGAGTCAGTTTTGAACATGTGTAGTAGATTTAATGCTGAGGGTGTGGAAGGGTGGGGTTTATTTTTGGGGGGAAAGAACAGATAACAGTTCTTGTTTTCTAGTTTGCCTTTTACTTGTAACATGCAAAGATGTATAATGCTTCAGTTTACTGTGGACTTCTAAAGTTTTGTTTTTTAACCTGAGTTTTTGGGGTGGTGGGATGCTTGTATTACAAGAAATTTTCAGTTAATTTGTCAGAAAATTTTAATTGAATACTTGTTTTGTTCAGTGCCTGTCATTTGGAGTTTAGAATTTGAAGGCACACATTAATCTGGCTGTTAACCTGACATTTCTGTAGCACTTTCATTGTTTATTAATTTTAGTGACTTGGGAATATAAATAGTACAACATGTGAAATTATATTTCTTGTAGAAAATTTAGCTTTTGACCTGTTTTGGTATTTGTTAATCATGTAGTTTGAAGCTGTTCTGCAGTTTAAAACTGAAATTATTCTAAGATCTGCTCTTTAAGGTTCTTCACGTGACCACTCTTAAGTATCACTATAAACTAACATTGTCAAACACGCTAATAAGAGGAAGACTGAACTGCTCTTAGAGAATTGTTTAAGAGCTTTTTGTCAGCATATGCTGCTAGAGAAATGTCTCAACCTCCATTGAGTCTATCTCCTAGACAGGATCTCACAGTCAACCTTGATTGAGATTTGAGGTGTTTTGCCTTATTTTAGAAAAATTTCTTTTTCAAGTTGCATTCAAGATGAGTATTCCAGGGAGAAAAAGAGCCCAGTTTTGTAGTAGTGTTTTGGTTTTTGTAGTGTTAATTGTAACATTAATAATACTCTGGCCCTGGAGTTGCACTAGAGACTGCCAAAGATCCTTAAAAATGTTGTGAGAGAAAGGGGTTGTATGGTTGCATATTTGTAAATGCCACTAATATTTGTTCATCTGTTTGTATAGTTTGCTGGGAAATCTAATGAAATAAAATGAATATATGTAGCTATTTAAATCATACCATTTAAAAATAAATGCACATTTGTTTCTTTTCCAAAAAAATCTTTTCTAGGCATTTATTCTTTCTGCAGTTGAAGACTGATATTGCAGAAGGAAGGTAATAAGAAGAATCTTCAATTTCTCTATAATTCTTTTGAAAATAAATTTAAAAAGCCTTTTGCCTGAGGGTATTGTTGCTGTAAAATTATCCCAATTATCCTATAAATATGCCTTGTGAAACATTGTTTTAAAGGAAAATCACATTGCCAGGAAACGTTACAAATTTTCTCATAGCTCACTTATTAAGAACAGTTTAGAAGTCTGTTGTGAATAAGCTGTAGGTGATGCATGTATCAACAGGCGCAACATCAGCCAAAGGGATATTTATGCAAGGCTTGGTGTGCCAGGCATGGAATTCCAAGTCTGGGCACCCACTACCTAGTGCAGTAATCAGGAGTAGCAAGGGGCAGTTCATGCTATCATTTCTCCTTATTTCAGGTTTATATTACCTGTATGGTGGGCATATACCCAGTGGTTTATTTGGCTGTGATTTCTGTGTGTTTGTACATAAAAAAAATAAAATAAAATAAAAAGGAAAGCATTGTCCAAGTATTTACTGCCAAATGTCAGTTGCCTAAAGGTGTTGGCTTTTTTCTATTATAGAGTCAGTTTTGGCCATAAGATCAGAGCTGTGTTTGTGCTTGGCATTTGGGTAATTTCAGTGTTTGTGTCTAGTTTTAACTACACCATAATGCAGCTATTAAAGTAATATCCAGAGCCCCATAAAAATATCTTTTTCTTTCCTGAATAAACATCCAGTAAAAATCTGAGTGTGTCCTTTTCCGATTAGTTACTTCCATTCACTTAAGGAGCTGTTTAATATCCAGTTGTAATGTGCTTTAACAATCAAACTTAGTGAGAAAAAAATCAGATATTCTTTGAAGATGAATTAGTCTTTGCATATCAAACTAATTGTGAGACAGTTTCAAGAAGACATGCATACAGCCCATGTTTAAATAAAATTATTTCCCCTCTTTTCCAGGTTGTCATGCCCCATTAATTCTGCTGTGGTCCTGGCATCATATGCAGTACAATGTGAGTAATAAACAACCATTATTTTGTTAATAAATTTATTTGACCAACTACTTTCTTGGCTGTTTGGCACTGAAAAGTCAGGAGAGATTTCTTTCCTTATCTCTTTGTGCCAAGTATTCAGTATGCAGGTACAGGTTATTAAAGCAGCCTCCAGAAACAGTCTAAATATAAAAAGAATACTTTTTACGCCTGTCAAAAAAAAAGTTGATACAAGAATAATTTTGCTATTTATGTGTGCTTCTGACTGCTGACAAAAAAGTCAGGTTTGCATTGTCAGTGGAAATAAAACTGTGAAACTGACTGTGTGTTACAATAGCTACGGGAATGCATTCCAAGGGAATAAGTGGTCATCTAGAGAACAGATAAGAGGAAGGTAAACTCATGATTAAGAAACTGTAGTGTTCTTACACAATGTTTGTTTCGTGGAATTTGGTTTGTTAGTTATGTAAAATTGGCCCTTTGCAATACATTTAAGGTGACTCTGCATATAAGAATTTAGATCCTTCTCATCTGCCTTTGACTGGCAAAAAAAAAATTTCAAATGATGATACTAGAAAAACATCTTCTGTAAGAAAACCATACTGGAGTCTGACAATTCCTCACAAGCATCCTCAACAGACAGTGAAAAACAGCTGGAGGAAGACCTTTCTCATTAAACAAATAAAGAAAAAGAAACAGGTTGAGGGTTTAGTGGAGTTTGCATATTTGTTATAATAGTCAGGGGAAAGAATGTAAGAATAGTTGTGTAATTATTTGGCTGGCTCTCATTTCTTTAATGGAAAGGCTAACAAGGCCCACAGAAACAATTGAGGTAATTTTTGTTTGAAATAGGAACCAAGCTAAAATAATTAAAGTGTGGTTTTCAAAGAAGGATGGGATAAGCTTTTAGTATCTGGTGAAATCCTAAGAGTCTATGAAACATTTGCTTTTATGTTTAAGCATGTCATATGTTGCACCCTTTTATAAAATAAAACTAATCAGATTCAAGCTTCACTAAAACCGTTGAAATTTTCCATAGTATGTGGCAGTCCCAGTTTTGGACCCAAAAGAAATGCATCCTGCTCTGGTGTTTCTGAGGCCCAGTAATGGCACTTGAAGGCTGATACACTCTGCACCACTAGGATTGCTAAATGAACTATTGGTGATCTTATTGAGCTAAAGCTCAGAAATGAAGAATGCGAAGGTTCTACCACAAAGTGAAATTTATCATGCCAAATCTAGTGTATCCCAAATCCCAAAGTTGTTCCTGTTTCCCCTTCAGTTTTATGGCTGCTCCCTTTTTAGTGCTTAAGCTAGGATACCACTAATGCCGTAATCTGTACTAAAGGAAAATTATGGAAGGACAATGAAGATTGTCAAAGAGTACTAGTGTGTTTTAATCATTGTCTTTCATGGTGGATTCTGGATTTCCCATCGAGCTACTTACCTGTTTTTTCTAACTCCTGATAGTGCTGTTTTTACCAGGTGGTGGGGATTTTTTTTTGTTTGTTTCTTTTTTTATTTAATTACAAAAAAAAAAGCACAAAAAACCCAAAAGTAGCCTTATTTTGCTATCTGATTTCCTTTCTGTTGCTGTTTTTATGACACTGATATTTATTCTCTGTATTGGTAAGGAATGATTTAATTAATAGAATGACATATTCCTTTAAGGTTGTTTGGTTTTGGTTTTTTTTTCCTTTTACCTAGAGGTGATGGTATAAGAAAGACATTTTTGAAATTAAGGGTTTCGGTCTCCTTACTGAGTCATGTTTGCTAGGTCCTGTCAATTGAAATAGTTTTAAGTAGTTTTCTATTAGTGTTTTAATTTCTAGTCATACTTAGTAAGGAGAGCTGAAGTTCTTGGTATATGAGGTAGCTGCTTATGAGAAATCCATTGTCTAAGGTTGCCATAAATCAATTCTACCTGAGCTATTTACTGCCACTTCTTGGCGGCTCTCAGGCTGCTCTCTCCTTTTGTAGCTTCCCTTGTGTGCAGAAGGGGAAATCCTTGGTGTCTGACAAACCTGTGGGTTGTTTATTTAAAAGGTGTAGCAGTTGTTGCTGATGGGAGGGCTGAATCAGATCTCTTTCATAGGGTATGAAGTCTGGTGTTTGATATTTCTGCTCTTGCTTAACTGAAGTTTTTCCATGTACTGATTTAATAGCTGGCCTTCAGAGGTTTTGTCTGAGTTTTGCAAGGGGATAATTTTTGGTTGTATCTGCTGTGCTGCTGGGAAGCTGTAATTCCCTTTGCACAGGCTTTTGGTTCTGAAATAAAGCTCTGACATGTCCCTCTGCCCTGCTGCAGCACACCTCGCGTTGCCTGGTGGGGCTAAGTTGCAGGGGAATGCAAGTGGGTGTGAATACTGTGAATAACATGTGACTGAACCTGATTACGAACATAGTTCAGACACTTGAAGAATAAGTTGTTAGTGTATTATCAGGAATGTGCTTCGTGACAGAACAGTCAGTAGATTTTGAATTTTTTTTTTTAAGAAGAACTTAATGTACATTTCAAATAATTTCACCATTGTGAAGCTGAAAGGATACACTCATACTGAAAAATCTTAATGATAAATCGTATTTTTACTAGTGTAAAATAGGAAAGTTGTACCAAATAAGGATACCTATGCAGTACAACTATTCATTTTTTTAAATTTCAAATGTCACAAAGCTGATTTAGCACCACGTGTTTTCTATCACTTCATGTTGCAAATTGCCATTTCCAGGCCATTGTTTAAATGCCCAGTTACTGGTATGTAAGAAGTCCCATGGGTTTCATGAGAATATGCTCTTATGTTTATAAATCTATTGATGACTTGGGACTTGAATCTGAAGTACAGTAATAAAGCCAGCAAAGATGTTATGAATGCTTCTAAGCATTTGTTTGTTCCCAAGAATCAGCTGCTCTTTTCTCCTGTGATACTGCTCCTCTCAGCCCTGCTTTGAGAACCAGGAATCATCACTAGCACACTGCTATATGTCTTTGGGACTTTGTTTAGAAAGGGGTTGACTGGTTGCTAGGGATTCAAATGGACTTTAACCTCTTATAAGGGAAGGAAGGCTGATGATGATGAAGAGTCAAGGAAGCTGAACTTAGTGTGAAATTCTCTCAGGAACTGGGAATACGAGAGGTAGAATTTTGGGAATGTCAGAAGATTGATATCCCAGAGTTATAGGTGGGCTATAAGACTTAGAGAAACATCAACAGCAGCTCCATAGTGAGGCCTGACTCTTTCTTCTAACTTGCCTTCATTTTGCCCCACTTTATAGAAGTTAGGTTGACCCCTCAGACTTCCTAGTTTATGGAGACCTCTCTCTTTGCATGGTTAGCATTTGGACATTTTTCTGTGTGTGCTCCCCGCCCATACTGTCTTGAAGTGAAATAGTGTTCAGAAGGACATCTCATGTAAGCTGAGAGATTTGTTTACAGATAGCCAGGTTTCTCCTTCTTTCCAGGGCATCTTTAACTCTTGTACCTTAGAATCAAAATCAGATTAATAGAGAGAACTTTGAGCTAAATTTCCAGTTATTAGTTACTGTATGAAATTAGTTACTAGTGTGTTGGGTAGTCTGAGGATTGTGTGCATGTCACATCTGTTCTTATGAAGCTTGCATCAGTGCTGTGCAGTCAAAGGCACCTTTTATCATATCTTACAGTTCCAATGTTATCTGTGTAATGGTGATGAAACTCCCAATACAAGAATCAGCTTGGAGAGTTTAATTGAAAATACATTCCCATTTCCTTCCATGTGGTTCACTGAATTCTAGATTGCTGCTCCTGAGCTTGCTTGCATCTCTGTACAACAGATCTTCTAAGAGTATTCTGATTGTTTATATACAGCAACTTTCCAGCTCTTTTGGAGTGGTTTGCATTAATTACATTTTACAATTGTGTTAGGTACTTCAGGAGATCATTGCTTCAAGAATTGTTTATGTGATGGTCTTCCATTAAGCCACAAATAATTTTTTGAACTGTAACACTTCTAAACAAGGTGCAGTCTCCAGAGTGAGAACCCCAGCTTGGGTTGCTGTGCTGTAGCTAAGGAGCTGACTTTCTGCAGTGCCTCATAGACTTGATGCTATTCTTCTGTATTTTTAAGTTGGATGAACCTATTAAATATTTTTGTGTAGCATTACTAAAAAGGGGGAAAGAAGAGTTTCCCAAGGTCAAGGTCCATGTAACACAGTATTACACTCATGATAGCAGCCTGGAGTTGCACCAGGAAAGGTTTATGTTCTCTATTAGGAAAAATTCCTTCTCTAAAAGCATAGTCAGGCTTTGGAAGAGGCTGTCCAGGGAAGTGGTGGAGTCATCATCCCAGGAGGTATTTAAAAAATGTGTAGATGTGTCATGGAGGGATATGGTTTAGTGGTGGGCTTGGCGGTGCTGGGTTAAGGGTTGGGCTCAATGATCTTAGAGGTCTTGTCCAACCTAAATGACTTTTTGATTCTCAGATGAGTAGTGGTGAATGTTGAGAAATAACATATATGGCAGAGGACCAGATGTATTGGTTTGACAAAGCCTCACAATGTTTTGGGAATACTGATAACTATTCCTTCAATTTTTTTACCCCAATACTTTCTCAAAATGAATACTCTTTGGACTTGGGATTATACTTCTTTTCTCAGTAGTTTTCCTGATTGTGTCTGTATGGTTTCTGAAGTATGTGTTGTATTTGAGATGCAGAAACAGCAACTCAGTATAATTTATAGTTTCTAATTTGTTTCATCCTTTTCCTTGTGACTATTTTTTTTGTGTTGTTGTTTAACTGTGTCTGGGTTTTGAGCTGCTGATTTTTATTTTTCAGTTCTTTTATTAAAAGGCATTACAATGGCTGGCTCATTTTTCATTCTGGAGTGGTAAATAACTTGGAGACTACCATTGTGAATGCATAGTTTTCTTTTTTTTTTTTTTCCTCTACAAATGTTCCTTTGTTTTTATTAATGCCTAATTTCTCATTCTGTCTTACCACAAAATGGCCAGCTGTTGTAAGCGGTCATAAGCAGCTATTTACAGTCATGCCTAGGCTGAACATTTTGTCAGGGCTCTTGAGTGTGAAGCATTATTTCCTTTTACAAAACAAGTTAGTTTTAACTCCCATGATAGTTAGTTCTACTTGTCTTGTAGGGACATCACAATTACTTAGGGACTGAGTGGGTTAGTGTTCATGTTCACATCCTTGTTTGGATACATGTTCCACTTGTTGAAACACCTTTCCTCCTCTCAACTTTCACTTCTGAGAGTTTTGGTCCTTTAAGAACTTCTCTCTGAAAACCATTTTCAAGATGGTGTCATTTTGCTCATTTCAGTGTACCTTTTTAGTCTGTCTTTAATAATTGTCTACATTTTCATGTTGGTTCTTTGAATTCTGCAGATTGTTTTCTGCTTCCAGAAACATTTTAATACGTGAATAATTTGTAGTTACTGTTGAGAAACAGTTTGTGCTAGGAAGTTCATCTTCCTTTTGTTCTCGTTTTGTGCCAAGAAGCAATCACTTAGAATTTCTAAACAGATTAAACTGTCTAGATTAAGTGTATTTTCTTTTTGTACCTCAGTGTTCATATGAAGTTAAATTAATCATTAGCCTTTAATACTACATTTCACCCTCATCTCAATAATGTGAGTCATTATTGCTGTCCTGATTTGGAGGCCAGTCATGTGATCCTAACTATGTTTTAATCCTGGACTAGTTTCATACCTGAGGATTTTTACAATTTATATGCAATACTCTTCCTGTGGTTTGTTTATTCTGTTCCCCTGTGAACCTGATCTTTATATGTAATTATCCTTTTTTTAAAACAGGCAATTCAATTCACTTTTGTGCTTTATTCATGTGAACTAAAGTATTACAATTGCAAAAAAGTTACAAATTCAGTATGAAACTGCTTGATTCTTTTCTGGTGTACTTCTCAGGTCTATAGAAAGTTGATATTAAACCAGTTTCTAAAGGCTAGCTTTTGTAGGCATTCCTTTGGGTCAGTTTGTCCATATGAACTATAACTGATCTCTCATCATGGTTAGCCAATGAGCCATTTTTACATTTCCCTTCTTGTATCTGAAGTTACTTGATATGCCCATGTGCAGAAATAGATTCTGGTGCTATTACTTTGCATGCAATTTTTTTTATTATTATTTGCAAGCCAAGTCTGTAGAATTGGTGAACAATGTCATCTGCACCTTGAGGGATATCTGAACAAATGACTTTTGAAAAAAGTATGAAAAAAATATGGCTTATTTAGCCTTCAGTAAGGCATAGACAGATCCTATGCTCTGTAAACATATATCTCAAGACTTGTGTTTCAAGCAGTTATGGCTCTTATTTTATTGAAAGTTTGTAGAACTAGTTTTCTGGCATGTTAACATGGCTACTTGGCTATTGAACTGTTCTTTTACTAGAAATTAAAAAATAAAGATCCTCTTTTTGTTGAATATGGCCTTCTAAATGAATGGTCCATCACATTCCTTTTTTAAAGCATTTCATATTAGATATATAACTCTAAAATACAACATTCTGATATTCAAATATCAGGGATTTCATTGTTTTTTGACTTGTCCTTGGTTCCACTTTCCCTCATTTTGCTCTATACTGTTTGGCAGTTATAATAAATTGAAGAGCAACAGTAGTCTAGAATGGAGAAAGTTTCTGCTCTGATCATGAGTCAGCAGATACTAACTCAATGAAGAGAAAGTTAGAGTATAAAAATAATAGTATTTTAACCTATGTCAGGAGGAACTCAGATTAGAAATATGTCTTTAATATTTCCTGCCCTTCTGCTCTCTTCTGGAGAAATCCAGTGAAGAGAGAGAAGCATCATAGGTTATTATTCTTGCCAATGTCTCGATATGTCCTAACTATTTTTCCTACTTGGATAATTAAATCTTACACAAGATCATTAGTCTTGCAAGATGTTTCTCTTCTACTGTAACAGCTGGCTAGGGAGTTGGAGAAGCTAAATTGCTCCCCTTGTTGGCATGGCCTCAGGTAGCTAGTAGCAAGAGGGGAAAAAACAGAATAGCCTATTTAGAAGATTAGAAAAAATATTCTACCTCATAAGGTATGAAGGAATAACAGTTGTCCCCTTTAAAGAAGGTAAAATTATAGTAAAAATATCTTTTCCTGCTGAAAAGAAAATTGAAGTAGAAAACTATATTATCTTATTTCTGGCAATCTGGTCTTTTCCCATTGGCAAGATTGGAATTCAAACTGGCTGCAACAAACCTTAAAGATGTAGATCGTTTCATAGAAAAGATGGGTTGTATAAATGACTAGTAAAGGAAAGGATTCTCAATCAACTACTATAATTGTGAAATTGTGAGCTTTATTTTACTCTGTTGTTAGTTCTGAAAGTTCCTAATTTTCGCTTTTATTGTCATTGCCTTAGACTTAGCACTGGCGGGCTTGGACTTTTGTCAATATATGTGGCTATTCCTAAAAATCATTTCAGTTTCTTACGATACTTCTGCATCTTCTGTCATGGTTGGTTGGGGTTTTTTTTGTTTTGGTTTGTTTTTTTATCATTCTTGTTTTTTTGTTCTTCACATAAATTTTACAGTAATGTTCAAATGTGAGTTTTGGCTCTCCTGGTAAATATTTAGTCCTTTGCCTGCTATTTGCTAATTAATTTAAAGCTTAGGCTACCTTTAAAAAGAAAGAACTAAGTGTACAAGAACATATGCATTCAAAGTAAATTAGTTACTCTTTATCCTTCCCTTTTTTATTGAAATATTTCTCTTGATGCTGACAATTAGGTGTGCAACTACATTAGCTTTTGACTGCATTTCCCTGGAAATTGTCTTGAATCATTGTACTTCTATTTCCTGGGCCATATAAATCATGGAGTTTGAATATATGTAAGTGGCAATTATTAGTTATCCTGTGCATCACAGATCCTGCATAATTACTAGGTATAAGTTATTTCTGATGTGCCCCTCATGCCCCTCAACTTGAATCACTTAAATAGCAATTTTGTACTTTTTTTTTTTTTTTAATTTTCTGGAAAATAGTGATAATATTATTGATAGTATATCCTAAAAGTGTGCTCTTGAACTTTGATTCAATTGAGGAGCTTTCAATGCTCAGTTGTTTGCGGCCTATTAATTACCTTCTTTTGTGTTAATTTTCAAATCATACCAATAACTTTTGGGAAACTTTAAGGCTTTATAATCACTATTCCATATTACTTATGAGAAGGAAAGTTAGTATAGGTTATAGTTACTTACTTATGTAGCAGCTTGGTAATGTTATGTGTCAAACTGCAGTTATTTCACATGTTCTGTTAAGTAATTTTCAGCTGAATTTCTGGGACAGTGCCCTAGTCCGTAGCAGAACAATTTCCACCTGAATTTGTGAGAAGTAGATGCTTTCTAAGTAACAGATCTTGTTGAAGACATCTAATATGTTCTAGTCACGTAAATGTGTCAAATTGATTTCATTTGCCATTTCTTACTGAAGCAATTTGGTGTTTCTGATGTTACAGTACTGCTCGTCTGTGTCAGCATGGCACATGACATCTGTCTAGTGCTGTTACAGCTTTTGATGCAAAAGTGAGGCTACATGAATGACTAAATAAAGTACTGAGTCATTCAGTGCCTGAGATTATAGATATGGTAAGTGTGCTTTGAAAAAATCTTACCTTGCTAAGGTCATACAGTTCCCTATGTTCAACACTTCTTGTCTGTTGGGAAATAATTGGTAATTTCTGCATTTTCCCATATGTGTTTGTGTTCTAATGAGAAGGAATTTTTTCTAAACAAAAATCCAATTAACTATGAAAACTTTGTATATGTATTTCTTGTTTCTTAACAGCGCAACTTGGAGACTATAATGCTTCGGTACATTGTTCAGGATATCTGTCAAATTACAACTTTATACCAGAGCAGAACAAGGATTTTCTTACCAAAGTAGAAACACTACATGAGCAACACAGGTAATGTGAAGTTTTAGCTCTCTCTCACCTCTTGAGCTTTTAAAGAAAAAAACAATGTCAAAAGGAAGACTCTCAAGTTCTTAGTTTCATTACAGCAGGCAGTTGTATTTCATATAGCTTATGTTAAATTAAATACTTGGGTTTATCATAGAGGTGCTATATTAATTATATTCAGGGTATGATGCTAAGGTGTTGAAACATTCAAATAAATTTCTAGTTATAAACTCCAGTAGCTTAGTTAGCCTTAAACATTGTTAAAAGCAACAATTTAGAGCACTATACTAGATGTTTGAGGGGTTTGCTGCATGAAGGATATTTGATAATTTTTCAAATTCTATAGATTTTTTTTGTTTAAATATGTGGAAAAATACTCCAAGAAATGCCATAACCACAAAACACTTCAATTAACTTTGTGGTTTCGCTCCCCTCTCCAGAGTGTAATACAAAGACTGCAACAGATTATTCCAGTCATTGCGCTGCTAATTATTTTTCCTGACCCTGCTGATTTGTCTCCTGTAAGACTGCAGCTTTGGAATTAGTGGTGTTGATCAGATACTTGCAAGCTGAATGCAAATATAGCAATCTAAGAAATTGTCTGTAAGCAAATGAAATCCAAATCTCTGTAGACTTGTTTTCTCTGTCTGTGTCTTAACTGCAGCAGAGCTAATTTCCCACTCTCTTAGTTTCTGTGATTTATACCCTGAAATATTTCCATTTTCATCTCTTCCTAATGTCCCTCAGCTATTTTTTCTCATCTTTCAATACTCTTACTTTTCCCTCTAATTTCTTTACTGCTAGTGGGTGTAGCAAGTATCTCTGAACTTCACATGTGCTCCCTAGCCATCCAGAATAGGCATTGTCATTTATGGGGCAAAAGAAGATAACCATTGAACTCTTAACTCCAGCTGTTCTTTCTGTTGGAGATACTAGTCTGGAATGCTTTCCAAACAGTTCATGATGGGGCACACAATAGCTGATGCCTCTATTCCTTCCATATTAATTTACTGTTTCCAGTAGGTTCAGTAGTTTTTTGAGGGGGACTTTTTGATAGGAATGAATAAATCTGCTTGTCTTTGGGAAGCAGTCATCTTGGAGGCCACTGAGGGAAGTTTCTGAAGAGTCTCGGAGTGGCTGGGTTGATTTCATCCCTTTAGTGCTGTGGTAACAAGAGATATAAAACTGGTTATGTTCTGCAGAGAAGATTGGAAGTTAGCATTGGTCCAGACTAAAGTGTGGTGGGGTCTGTTGGAAAGACTCCTTTCTTCTTAGTCCTTTCAGTGATATCAGGGCTTTCATTGAGTGTCTTTGGTGGGGTGAGGCCTTGATGGTTGAAAAGTTTAACTTCTGTATTGGAATTAACCGATGTTAGTAATTGAAGATCTGAATAAAAATACTGAGTAGATTGGACTGGAAAAATGCTTCTTTATTGTTTTAATGCCTATTTTGAAACTTAGCTCCTAAGGCAAATTTACTTCAGAGTGCAAGGAGAGGCAGACAAATTACTGTTTATCCTGGCAGTATTTCTTGTGTACTCCTTGGGCATTCGTAGAGAACACTTATGTCTTGGACATGAATTTCACTAGATCAGTGCTAAGAACATATTTGACAAGAATGGTTCTGGTGTTCACCAGGGCTGCTGGGAAGGAAAGATGGAAAGGAAGAGTTTGCTTTTTTACCTTTTGAGAGAATGTTGTTGATTTGGAATGAGATTTCTGCTAATCTGGAATAAAAATATTGCTGTAAACCATATAGGTTATTTAAATTTGGTATTCTTAGATTAGAGGGTTGCAAAGTCAACCCTATAAACATCTATCCTTTTTTCATTCTTTGGTATCTATCCTTTGAGAAACTTCACAAGGGAAAAGGCTGGAATTGCTGAAATACAGACTTGAGAAGTCATGTGCTGTGTTATGTGTTGTAACTCAGTGCAAGGTTTTTGTTACCTAGATTTTGTGCTGCTTTGCAAAATCGGAGGAAGTATTTCCTGTTCAAGTCTGTGTCACACTGTTCAGTGGATAGTATGTACTTGTTAAGAAAGCATTTATTGTCATATTGCCCTGGTGTAGCTTCAGAAATTTTTCTTCTGTGTTCATCCCTAAATCCATAGGGGGATTTTCCTGTAGATAGTTGGTTCCAACATGGTTTTCCTGCTGTTTTGCTTAGTTACATAAGCAGCCTGAGATCTTAGGATGCAGCTATTGTCCAAATTGGTGAGGTTTTCATGGTGCTTGCTAGATCCAGACGTCAGTTTGAAGAGAAGGATGTATTTGAAACTAAATAGTGTGTTTATATTCCAGATGAGTTTTGTTAGTCCTTGGGTATCAACAACTATAAAAACTGGATCACCAAGACGTTTCCTCTTGCCTGTTTATCTCACTGAATAATTACCATCTGCTTAGGGACCTGAAGGTTTCATTTCACCTCTAATTAAGTAGGAGGGTGTAACAACAATGAGTAAAATACCTAAGTCTGTGTTGAGATACTTGTGGGCCCTTCAAGACACGAGGCATGACTGGTCTGGTGTAGATGGAGTATACAAATTGAGAATTAAAATTTGCAGGCATGTTTTGTTAGTGTGCCATAGACCTTCTGAACAAAGTACTTGATGAAATTATTTAAAATAACAGTAATGTACTCTTGCAAACATATTCAGCATCCTTTGATATAACAAAATGGCCATTTCACATTGGTTTGCTTCTGTAATTTTCTGAAAGAGATAAGGTCTACTAAAGTTTTTCAGAATCAAAGTGACAATAGTCAGTGTACATGTAGATCAGAGAAACCAGTTAAGCTCAGGATTGTGACAAACAGCACTTTTTTCATATTTGTTCTCTTTTTTCTTGATATTATGGCATCCTCAAGCCACGTTGGCCTTGGCTTTCCGGTTCAAGGTAGATTGCAGTTTTCTGCAGCATGTTGTAATACTTCCTAGTGAGGGTATTTCAGGGCATTGTATTTTGATGGCTTTGCATTTAAAAGGAGGGATATTAATTGGAAGTAATAGATGCTGGACTTCTTAATGTAACTCAATGTCATGTCAGCTTTTTGCAGGTTGTACCTAAATTGCATTTGATTAATGTAATTTTATGCATGTTGTTTTGGAATCTCACCTAGCAAAGAATTGTTTATACCTGTACTTACAGAAGCTTTCTTCAAGACAAGAAGGTCAAATGTTTGTATGTCTCAGCTGCAGGAGAAAAAAAATATTTTAGGGCTTACATATTTTAGGTAAACTTGGATGGCTTTTCTTTGGTGAATTTCATAATTTTAACTTTTAACCTGTTCTCTCCCCTTTATTTTGTTTGTACATTTGTGCTTCTTTCTTCTAAATGACTTCTTTCTGAGGGACTATGAAATATGCAATATTTACAGATACAGCTTCTTACTAAAAAGTAAGATTTTACAGGGAAATTGTATCACCATCCTTTTGAACATAACAGATAACAAAGATTTTTCTAAAAACATCTGGTCCAGAATGGCTAAGGTAATAAATTCATGTATAATTCACTCAGTTTTTTGAGATTACTTCAGCAGGGCCTTCACCAGTAAAGAAATCATAGCACTACTTAATGGGAGGTTGTTTCTCAGGCGCTGGTCTTTGGCATTCTTCTGGTTTTATGCATTTAGAATGAATATGATATAATACCTTTTATTTTTGACTTGTCTGTGGTTCATATATATTTCTTATTCCCTTCTTTTAGTGGCCTCAAGCAATCTGAAGCAGAGTCCTGCTATATAAATATAGCAAGAACACTTGAATTCTATGGAGTGGAATTGCACAGTGGTAGAGTATGTTTACATTGTAATTTTTTCCTTAGAAAGTAAATTTATATGTTTGGTTTTTTTTACATTAATTCATAGCAGAAAAAAAAAAAGTAACATTTCAGTGTTGACTGCATCATGTGTTATTTTTAATTAGAGCTGGATAATTTTTCAATAATTTATGTGTGATATAAGTGCTGGAATTTCAACCAAATAAGCTAGAGCCCCTCAAAAGTGTAACAAAGTATTTTTGAGATAAACTAATTACTGCAATATATTTTATTTAATAATTTTACAAAGGTTTCTGTGTGTTTTAGCATGAAAGAAAACGAATGCTCTGTTTAGTGCTATTAGTTGGCAGGTGTTTTAAGAGTTTTATTTCTCTAAATTTCTAGCACTAATTTCTTGAGTGTTAAGAATATTTTTCTTCTTAGGAGATTTTTCTTCTTGTTTCAATTCCTGTGTTCCCTGTTTCCAAGCTAAATCTAAGAATTGTTTAACAGCTTGAGAGATGACCACTGAAAATATATCTGGAATCTTTTAGATACAGGGTGTGCATTAATAAGAAAAATGTCCTAGTATTTCACTGTCTGCTATTTAATTTTTTGACTACACTATTCATCTGAAGTGAAACCCCAACATGTTTTTTTATTTGCATTATAGCGTATACGTTAATGTTTGTGCTTCTATGCTATAGTTAATTGTTTTGGTATAAGGGTTGTAGTGTAAAAAATAAAGGAAGTGTACTACAGATAATTGATTTCCTAGGTGAAGATGACTTCTAGTTTTCTTAACGTTTTTCTGAGTTTTATTAACAATCCTGACACTGAGAGTTATAATGAAAAATTCATAAATTTCTTTAATGATGAGGAAGGAATAGAACGAGTAATTTGCTTTCTTCAGCATATTTTCTTCCTGTTTTTCTTTATGCTGCCACAAATAAGTGGGTGTTGCATTGGATTTCTAGGAATTCCTAAAATACTTCTTTATGAAGCGACCGTAATTACATTCATATTCATGAAACACAGTGCTCAAAAGGTAGATACTTTCTTTTTAAGAATGGAGAAAAGTAGAAAGGAAAGGAAATTATTAAATCTGACTTTGTATAGTCTGTCCATTGGGTCATCTGTCACCTTTCTACTTTATTGAAGAACCTCTTAGTGTTACACTTGAGATCACTATATGCACTTAACTCGACTGCGTATTTGCCTTTTAACTGCTACTATAGCCTAGTATTTTGATAAGCCAACTTGAGTGCTAAGACTTCCACTATGTGACCAGTCTCTTAATACTAATGGGATGTTGTTTCTGAAAGCTCTTCCAGTTTCCATTATTCTTCCTGAGCTGCAGGCCACTGAAGTGCATGAAGGATGTCAGTAGTGGTCATACCATGCCAAGTAGTGAAGATAGACTGGGTTCAGACATTTTCAGCTAAATGAAATTTTACTGCAGACCATTTTGCTCCTGTTTCAATTCAAAAGAATGGTTTTGTTGCAATTCATTTTTTTTAAGGAAGAAATATTTGAAGTTATCTGTTTTTTCTAGCAGTTGAACTAGACATCTAGATATTTAGAAGCTGCTAGGAAGGAAATAGAAAGCAAACCAGATAATATCATGCCACCTTTCAAATTGAGTTGTGATATCATTTGGATGTTGAGCTTCATTCTTCCTATCTCTTCCTTATCTCAGAGTAGGTAATGGAAAAAGAAAAGTACAGAGAAGGATAACAATCATGAATGTTTTAAGGAGAAGCCTTCTGTAGCATGTGAACAGCATGGAGAATGTGAATAGGCAACAATTATTTTTTTTTTCATTTTTTTTTTCCTTTGGTAATAAAAGATTTAGGGATCTTCAATCTACCCAAAAAGAGACAGGTTTAAGTAAAGGAACTTTTTCCATAAGGCTGCAGTTGAACTGTAAACATTACTTCTGGTTTAATGGATGCCCAAAATGAAATAGCAATCAGGAGCAGTTAGGCAGTCACTGGAGTCCATTAAACATAAAAGCTTCTAAACCAGGAAATCCTCTAGTTGTAAATGACCTGAAGCTGAGAAGGGAAGTTGTTAGTAGGTGTGTAGTTGGTTGTCTCTGTGGTTTTGTACTTCCAAAACATCAGTTGCAAGTCACTGTTTGGATTGAATGCCATGAGGCAAACCTCTCAGCCAACATGAGATTGGTCTTCGCTCCCATAGGCCTGTAAGAAGTTTGCAGTGAATGTTTATAAGCTGCTTCTTCACAGAGGTTACTATGTCCTGTCCCTGCTTTGGCATGGATGTGTTTACAGTGCCTCCTGATACCTTCCCCCACTCAGTACTGCTTTTAAATCATCCTTCCAGTTGAGTCACATCCCTGTGCCTTGACCAGATTTAGCAGCGGCTAATTAAACTGTGTCTGTGAAAGGCTTTATCTCTGTGGATTCTTATGATCTTGTTCCTCTTAGATTGTGTGTGGCATAACCAGGTAACAGCTGGCTTTTACACTAAGGGCCTAAAGAAGTTGGTGCTCCTGTACTGGTGGTTGAGAGTGGGATACTTTTGGATAATGTTTCTTGAAGAGTAGATGAATATATAGCTTCCTTCATTTTTTTGTTTTATGATACAAAGTTAAATATTTAACATAAGTGTGAGCTTGCTTTTTAGCAACTTAGTAAACATGCAACTCTAATCTGAGCTCAGTTTTCATCTGCAGACACTTTTGATTTTTTTTCTGATGAAAAATCTGAACTGCTAAAATATTAAAAAATGCAATAGTGTTAGGAGACTCAAGAGAGTGAATTCAGTATCTTAAAACTATATTGATATTTCTTGAATTCCTAATCTCCTTTTCACTCTGGACCTCTATCCCATCTGCTCAATAATTAATCTGCTGTTCACTCATCTTTCATTTTTACTCAGAGAGTCGAAGATAGGAAATTTGTCGAATCAATATTATTTCCATATCTACAAAAATCAAGATGGTAATTGTAAATTGAATCAAATATGAATCAGTACTTAACTAGCTAGATGCCTGACATGATAATTTTTTATCTTCATGACTTCTGTATTATCTTCTTCATGTTACCTGTTTTTTTTTATAAATATATGCATGTTATTTCGTTGTGCAATTTAACAGCATGATGTTTTGAAAGGGAAATAACTGTACCTCATTATACCTCTCTTTATGCTATTCCAGCATCTTGATTTTGTGTTTTTTAGGCTAAACACAAGAGAATTCATAATAACATATAACATGGCAGATTAGTGGTTTGGGTTGGTGCAGAGGAGGGTGAGGAATGAACTTTGTTCTGAAAAAGTTTCTGGAGAAAATAGAGTAGTTCAGCCAAATAAATCCCTATCAAATATTTTAGGTAATCCTTTATTTCTGCTTAATCATGTAGATTTTCAGCTTTTACTTTAAAAGCTGTTTTTTTCTTCACAATATTGATTTTTAAAAGCAGGAACCAGGAGTAAGCTCAAAGTAGGAATAATACAATTTTCTACCCTGCTTTAGTTGGCCATATCATGGCAGAAACAGCAAACTATAGCCAGTTAATCTCCTGGATACCTCAGTGTTCTTTCCAAGTATTAAAATACAGGGATGTCAGTTTTGGATTCCTGTATTATTATTTGCAAATTAGGTTGGACTTCATTCACGTGCATGTGTCACACTTCTATTCAACTATTTTTAAAGGATTTATTGAAGACTTCCCACAGTATTGTCAGAGCACATGCTACCTGTATTTTCCTGTACTTTACTAATATAAAGAAATTGGGATTGGACATGGAGGAAAGCCATGTATTATTTGAGCGCAGAGTACCATCTAGAGGAGCAACTGTGCTACTGAAGGCTTGAACAGGATCTGTTACCATTGGCTGTCCTTTAAAAACAGTCTGAAACTGCTTTTGAGTCAAACCTGATATTTTAAACAATGGATTTTAGTTACATGTGGATTTATGTATGCATATAGCTCTATTTAGAAATCTGTGTAATAACACATTAGTGTGTATTGTTCATAGGAAGTGGGAAGCCAAGATTTGTAACTTCTTTAACGTCAGTCTAGGTTTAGGCTCAAAATGACCATCCAGCATCCTCCTCTCTGCTTTTTTGTTTTTTGTTTTTTGGGTTTTTTTTGTTTTGTTTTGTTTTGTTTTATTTTTTTTTTACTTCAAATGTTTTCTTATATGGAAGAATGTGTTTTCTTTTGAGTATCTCAATACCTAGAAAGGATTGTAAATTTATGATTTTATTTTTTCCAGTTGCATGTGTTAAGCTAATGCACAGCTTTTGGCTTAGTTAATAATGGATTTCATTTAGTTCATGAAATACTCATGTGTATTTCTCCAACATATTCTCATATGCAAAATTGTAGTCACTTCCTGTGCAGTCTTTCTTGGTAAGATCTTTTAGGAAAAAATAAGGAATTATTTCCTCTCTCTTTTTAAATGGCATATAATCAGGCAATTTTTGCTCAGTTCCCAAAATTCTGTGACATTTACCTGACTAAACTTGGACAGTGCTTCAATTTCTTTCCTGAAATTAATAAGGCTAGACTTGCAGATTTACCCTTGATACAAACCACAGAACAGCCAGAGTAGTAGGATGAACATTACAACTTGTTTTAATGAATGAATAATATTTAAAATGTGTAATAGATCACATCAAAGGAAAGAGATGCGCAAAAATCAACACTCAAAACTGTCATTGATTTTTTTCCTCAAGTGTAGCAATTTAGGTATAGAAAGCTTGAAAATAAATTTATTAATACATAAATGTAAATTAAACAAACTGCATCTGTGTTCTTACTGTATTTTTCTTTTGTAGGATCTCCATAATCTAGATCTTATGATTGGGATCGCATCCGGTGGAATTGCTGTATATAGAAAACTCATCTGTACAAGCTTCTATCCCTGGTAAATTCCTTTTTTGTAAAGAAATACATCCAGTTTTTTCAATCTTACTTCCATGTGCTTTCACATTTATTCCAAAGAAGTCTACAATACATATATTTGTTCTTTATGGAGTATTGTGGTATTTTCTTGTGCTTAGATAAACATGAAATCTTGCCTAGGCTTTTAAATCTTTAAGACTTTTGAAGTCCTTGCACTGTGTGAAGTATTGATCAAGTTAATATACATACAGGTATGAGTACATGATTAGGAGGACCCTGTGGTCTTAGAAATTTGCTGCTGTTATTCCCAATAATATGTCTTTAAAAACAAACAAAACCAAACAGTATTGCTATTAAAACTCAGCCCCTAATTCAGTCTGAACTTTTAATGTGGCATTCAGCAAGAAGATACTTCTTGGAATAGGAATGTCAAATGAGTTATTTGGAGATATTCAGATTTCCAGGAAGTAGGATAATATAATTTAGACTTTTTAAAATCTCATCAAGTAAGAGTATATAATATTAACAAGCAGGTGAGAGACCTTCACGTTATTCTCTGATACATAAAACATTAGAATGCATGATTGTGCTGTAGAAAATAAGCTCTGCAAAGAAATAATGTGCAAAAGAACTTTAATGTGAATGACAGAGAAGTTACATAAGCTGTAATTTTTTTTAAGTGCTTTTGGGCTTTATTAGTTAGACTATACTAAAAATTATAACCTGAATTAGAAATTATATGGAGGCCAGGCATTTTCTTAAGGTACTTGGATTAGATCAGAAAGATTTTTTTCAGTCTTTCTTTTTTAAAAGAAGTATGAACTTGTTTTTTTATGCTTGATTAAACTATAGCTTGGTCACGTTATACATGAGTTCTTTCTTGAATTTGCAACAATTTTTCTGATTAACATTTTCAGTAAGATAGTACAGTGTTCTTAATTATGACAGAAAAATGCATTCCAATTGGTTGTACTTGCTTTTTGGCCCTTAATTATACAAAAAAATAAAGGCTCCCTAGCTGTATTCCTTAAATACTAGTGTCATTCCATCCTTTCATTTATGAACCCAACTGAACAGCTATTTCCTATAGGAAAGCAATAAAATCTGTTTCAATTAAGATTCTAGAGGGAAATATACTGCATAGTCTCTGGATTTTTCTTTTTGTTTTCTTTGCTGTGAGTTGCATTTCAACTCCCTGGGATATACTGCAATCAGCTTGGATAAATATAAATCAATAATAATACTCTCATACAGCAGCACAGTGAAAACTTGTATTTTTCCATTTCTAATGCACATTGAAGCATGAAAGACTTATCTTTCATCTTTGTGCCTTGAGTGCTGCTCTTTCATACATTGGCCTCTCAGATTCTTTGAACCACTGCAAGTTTTAAAAACTGCCAGCTGGAGGCACATTTTCTGTCTTCTGCCAGTCTTGTTCTGGCAACTTAGTTGACCTAAGTAACATATGAATGGGTAATAGTTGTTCCTGAAAAACATAGAGTAATGGCATTTTAAAATCTGTGACTATATGAAATTTTTAGGGAAGGGAAAGGTAGTTTACAGCACACAGGCAGGAGGAATCTACAACTTCCTGTGCTACTTTTACTCCTGGAGAGCACAGAGGAATAAAACACAGATGCTAAAACATTTTTCACAAGAGCCTATTCTCATTTACAGAAAAAAATTGAGGGAAATGAAATCTACAGGTTTTTCAGTTCAAATAATTCCCACTCTAAAATATGAGTTTTAGGCAGTAATATTTTCTGCTGACAGCTAACGCAATTGTTCCAAGTCTCCTACTCAATCACTCACTCTCTCCCTCCATCTCTCTCTCTCTCTAAAAATTTATTTTCATCTTGAAAGTAAAAGCTCCCTACACAGGGGCTAACTTACTGACATTTTATTTCTGGCATCTTGCATGAGTTAATCATAATACTTTATGCAGGAATGGTGTCCATTCCCTGATCCTACCAAAACACTGAAAAGCAAATGCTGAAAGCCACCAGAGTGGAGTTGCTTGGGATGTATTTGTAGAATGAATTCTCACTTTGTTTTAGATCTCAAAGCAGAATATATTTCTGTAATGCCTGAAGTGGTATTTATTTAGGATCTTTATGTAACACCATTTATATCAAGTGCCTTTTCCTATGGACTGTGCAAACTCCCCCATTAACGAGTTAGAACTCAAGGTGGCAGCAGACACCATCAAAGCACTCTTTCCAGACTCTTAAGTAAAATACTCTGCAGTGGATGACAACAATACAACCATGCCATATGGTAGTAGTCAAAGGGGACCAAAAGTTTTCAGGAGCAGAGGCAGTGAGAGAGTTCTGCCTTGGCAAAAAGAGACTTTTCAATCAAAGCAGCCTACGTAAAGAGCTGACTGATCAGTCAGCGGCAATGCAAGTCAAGATAGGTTTAAAAAATAGCTTTGGATTTAATGCAGTATTTTATACACTCTGCAGAATTATTCTCAAGGGTGCTTAACTGTTCTGTGGTAACTTCCAAATTGATTTTGCAAGTAAAATATTAATGGCAAAAATGTACAAACACTATATCAGCAGCAACTAAAGTTAGGTATTAAATGCTATTTTGTGTATGCATTTTCACTGCTCTGAAAATTTCAGAGAAACCGCTTGAGGAATGCATAATACATTGCTAGTTAAAACTTGGAAAAGAAGTATCTTGCATAACAAATTGGTCAGAACCTTTCTTCAGTGGCAAAGTATAAGAATTACAGGTAAAGAAACTTTTTCTTTGCTTTAAGTCACAAGTGCCAGCTGTTAGTACTAAGCTCTAGGACAGGACTGCCAGCTTAATCAAAAAGTAGTGATTCTGTGGCCCATGAATCTATTATGATGCTTGTGAATGATAGGAAGATGGGACCCAAAACATCTATCATTCTTAATATGATACAACTAGTGAGTGCTTTTTAGGTAAACCCTGCATTTTATTTTTTGTGAATGTTGCATAGTCACTGGACAAATTATTGGTGAGAGAGAAGGGCTGCTGAGCCACCAGCTATAGTAACAGTAACTGCATTCCATTAATATACTTTTTGGGTATGACATCTTCAAGAACTTATTAAGACTAAGTGCTTTGGCACCTTAATCTCTTGGATTTTTTCCTAGATTTTTCTAGATGTGAACATTCAATCAGTTTGTGGGCATAACATTGCAAATGATCTTTAGTTATTCTTAAACAAAAATGCCAGAGTAGCAAGTGTTCTTCATGCCTGAACTGAATAGGTTTAGTTGTACTTGAAGAAGAATAAATGGAATTGAGAGGGATATTCCATTTCGGAGAGTGTCAAAATAAAGTGCCTTAATGCCCTGATTTGGCTTGAAGTGATTATATGGTCATGCAGTGAATCATGGTTTTGTTTTTGGTGGGGCTTTGGGATTTTTTGGTTTTGTTTTGGTTTTGTGAGGGTTTTTTTGTTTTCTCAGTTTTTGTGTTTTGGTTTTTTTTATTAAAAAAGCAGGGTGTAGAGGAGAGGGAATAAGAGAGTTTTGGTACTTTGGGATGCTCTTTCTCCTTTTGTTGTTGGATGGGAGGCTTTTTTGCTTCATCTCCATGGTTAGTTTTCTGTGTCCTGCATTTCTGCTGCCTTCATGCTGGGGTAAAAGCAGACCATGACAGCAACTGTGCAATCTGAGAGTAACTCCAAAATCTTGTTTGTTCAAGTTTAATCTGAGTCAAGAAATGTGGTAAGAAAGAACCAGAAGCACAAAGCTTGAGTGGTACTAGTTCAGGCAGAGTAACACTAGAATCAAGAAAGAATTAATATACAATGAATTGCAGCTCAGTAAGTACAACTGAAAATTTATGACTGTCAGGTGGTTCAGAATCAAGAACTTATAGACGAGCAACGTAGATCACTGATGTTTGAGGGAGCAAGTCAAATGATACAAGTATTTTGAGATTTGGCCTAACAGGAGAGGTGGATATGATTTCAACTTCCCATTAATTTTCATGCCAATTTGTCTTGTCAAGGAATAACATTGAAATACCTGTTTCTTTGTGGTTCTGTAATTGATGGAGAAAAGCATTTTCTGAAATCGGCACATACTGTTTTCCACCTCTTGTGCAGGAAGAGGGATAGATAATACCATGAATATTCTTGTTAGTAACTGGCAAATATACTTTCCTGTATCCATGAAGGACATTGCTCTGTAACTCAAGTGTCTTTCCCATGAGCAGTGAGGGAATGAGTTTTATGTCATCCCACTTGATGAGAGTGATGCAAAAACTGTGCCAAACTGAGAGGACTTGCAACATAGTTCATACCTGGTATCTAATATCCTCTGAAGCAGCAGTTAACGAAAATATTAGGCATCTTTTAGCAGTAAACACACAAAACCCTTTCATGATTTTTTTTTTTTTTTGGGGGGGGGCAAATATGACTTGATCAGACCTTAAATAGGTTTCCTTATGGCCTCTGTAAGATTCCAGCTTACCACAAGTCAGAGATTTCTTTGTCCAGAAATTGTTTCCGTTTGTTTCAGTTACCAAAGTAGAACTATTGCAGAGAAAATTTAAGTATTTTAGATAAATCTTGTTTTGCTGTGGGAGGGTGTGCAGGTAGGTAGAAGTTTGTTTAATTTAGCAAAACTGAGAAGCATATTAAAATGAAAATTGCTTGAGCACTGATTCCAGTTGTAATTTTTACCTTAGAAAATATGTATTTGCACTGTGTATATTTTAAAAAAGGTTTTCAGTTCCAAAATTACCACATAAATTACATAGCAATGTTAATGAAGTGAAAAATATTTTAATACTCATTCTTACAGTTTTCATCCTTCTAAAATAATGATTTTATCTAGAGGTTTTGTTTAGTGATTTACACAAGTGCATGACATTTTTCACATTATGGAACCAATTCTGCAAAGCCTCTGTGAAGTTTCAGTTGTTGTAAGACCAACCTTGTCATGTCATTAAGGTCTTAAATTTTGTTCCTTTAGTCACAGTTGTCATATGACTCTAAAGTTATACAAAAGTTGACACATTTAACATTTGTGCAGCTTAGTGTAGAAGATGTCATCAAGTTTTTTGCTGCAAGAATAGATTTGGTGGGAGAGAACTGCTGTGAACTATTTAAAGATTAAACGAGGACATCTATTTGCCACTCAGCACAAGAGATGGCTGCATATTATTCATTGAATATTTTACAGCTATAATCTTTCAGGCTCTCTGTACTGTATGCAGTATTATTTTTCATTGTTTTATCACTCTAAGCATTGCTCAATATTTCATGGCCTGTTTCTTTCTCTTAGGGTGAACATATTAAAAATTTCCTTTAAAAGGAAAAAGTTTTTTATACAGCAACGGCAAAAACATGTAAGTAGTCCTCTAATTTTGTTTTGCTCAAGTGACCATATTCAGTATTTTATATTGAATATAACCTACAAACTGCTGATCAAAAGGCTCTGTTGGGGTAATTTGCATTTGAAACTGTTGATCTTGCTATTCAGACTGTAAGTCTGCTTATTCCCTTTCTTTTTCTATTTGTTTCTCTTTCAACCCTCCACTTTCAGTCTGTTTGACTGTATCTTTCTCATCAAGGTTTCTTCTCCCTTGGAGACTTTGGGTAAATTCAGATCTCCATCCTTTCTCCAATATTTATTAACATAGCACATTTCCCCCTTTCTCATCATCATCTGCTGATCTTGCCTTTGTTCCTGCCCTGTAGAGTTCCTTAATGCAGTAAATCTACTAAACAGCTGCTTATCCCATCTAGGGGGAGTTTGTGAGGTCCCTTCAGCTTATGGGGCTCCTAGCTCAGGAAGAAAACAAGGTTCCTACAGGAAAGGAGAGCTTTACAGCTGAAAAACATGAGGTTGAAAAGGAGACCAGCATACCTCCTGCTGTGTGTAATTGTAACATAGGGAGCTTTAGGAGTTGGCAAATTCTGTGAAGATAGTTGATTAAACTAATGTAAAACTTTTCAGCTGTTAAGAGTTGACTTCTGTTGGTTGCTTTGTGCTCTTTGCAGAACAGTTGAATTAGTCTATTTAATGAGGGAGGAAATATTGATTTCTGATTATTATTGTGTTGCCACAATATGAAAAAAAGAAGATATCTTTTTAGAAAGAGCATAGATTATTTAATATGGCAGAAAAAAAATTCTCAGGAGCTAGTGATCAGCAGATGTATAAATAGTTTAATTCAGTTGAGGACAAAGCTTGAGAACATAGTAAAAGGTAAGTGTTAACTTGTACCTAAACTTCATGAAGGCTCTTTCTGGTAGTATACAAGCTCTTAAATTTATAGGAACTGTGTTACAAGACCACCTCTTGACCCACATAGATTAGAAGGTCTACTGAACACAGATTTCTAGGGAGGCCTTTTTTTTTTTACCCATATGGAAAATGTTTTCTTCTTTTTTCTTTTCTGTATGTCTGTATGTCTTTTTTCCCAGTTTGGTGGGCTCTTTGAAAATTGAGGAGTGTGCGAGTATGCGCATGTTACTTTTCAGGATTCACCTTTAAACAAAGTTAATATCCATAGACAATGGTACAGCATTAATGCTTGCACGCACACACAGCATGCAAAGGATGTGTCCTTACACACTGTAGGGGGATCTTAAGGTTTTTTTGCTAGCTCTTAAGTTTCTAAATGTATTGTTTATATGTAGTCTGTTCATTTATATTTCACTGCATGAAGAAATGAGTGGCTGATAAGCCATTCTACTCACTTGTAAGCGTAAACACTTGCAATTAGTAACTTCTCTCCTGGGTTTTAGGATTAAAAATTCACCGATAAATAGTAATTTTAAAATCCAAATATTTTCAAATATACAGATGAGTACAGGCTTACAGACAGCAGTTTCCAAATGTGTCTGTGAGAATAAACATAGTAACAGAACTCTCTGAAAATTATTAGTAAAACAGGGCTTGGATCTTGATGATTTTAAGTTCATTCCAACCCAAACTATTCTATGATTCTCTGTAAATGAATGTACTTACAGTGGTTTTTGGATATGGAAGAATAAAGTGTCAATATAGAACAATCTGTGGATTTAATGTAGAATATGTGTGTTCATTACATAAAGACTGCTGTCAAAAGTAGAATTTTAGTCTCTGGAGACCTATGTCACTTTTAAAGAGAGCAGCAATCTTAATTTGTTCAATTAAGCATTTGAAAGATGATGACAGTTCAAGGCTCTTGATGCTTTTAGCTTACCTTCTCTAAAGTGATCATAGTTCTTTGTTTCATAACGTGCAGAGATGACAGTAATGCACACACTGTCATGCATAAAGTGCTACAGAACTGTAAGAAAAGCAAGGCCAGCTGCATGACTTCTTTACTTCTTCTCAGTACATATAAAAAAGCAGACCAGGTGTGCCACTAAATCTGTGGATACATCCATCCTTGTCAGCCCCCTTTGCTTGAAATGTAGGGCATCAAGTGTGCAGTACTCCGGTGGTATTGCTTGGAAAAGCTTGCTGGTGCCTGCAGTGGGAGAGAGGGGAGTGGAGTCCTAGGGGTTTCACCAGAACAGTGGGGTGCTTGAGGGGTGTGTGAGGGCAGATGGCTGCATTGGTGTCAGTCTTTGAATTTATCAGATTTTTGCTTGAAAATACAGAAGTAAATAGGTAAATGAATCTGAAAGTAGAGAAGATGAAAGAATGTGGAGAAAACAGAGCAGATACTGTATATTCCTGGGCAAGGTTTGACTAAAGATGATGAGAATGCTACTTCTTTTATATTTTGTATGTTGTATGTAGATTCTTTACAAAAATCTACAGAAAGTTTCAAAGGTAATGAATTTGCAGTCCCCTGGGATGTGCCATGTTTCATTGATTTATTCTCTTTATTTCATTTACTTCATTTTTTCTTTTCTTACTTGCCACTTCTGAAAAATCAGCTTACCTTATCTCACTTTTTCCCTGCTACTCGCCTTCTCTTTTACCCTTCCACTGCTCCAGTCTGTTGATCAACTACTTGATTAGGAGTATACAGTATTTGTGTTTCTACTGAAGAGAATAATAATAAAGACTGGGGAGCAAGACTGATGAATCGGTGAATGTCTGATGCTATAGAAACTCATGACATTAATCAAGGCTTAATGAAGGGTGCAGGATTTAAGGTAGGAATAGGAACTCTGCTGTTTACAGGCAACATTTTGTACTTTTCAGAAATGAAATTTTATTTTCAATGTGCCTATCTAATGCTAAAACCAAATACATTTGGTGCATACTAAAATATATCTTTACTTTCTATGCTGTAGATATTTTCAGATTTTTGTTAATGGAATAGGCATACAATTGATGCAGAAGTTCTTCCATATGTTGTACTAGCCAGACACTTTAGCTATGTGGAATTTTTCCCTTTACCTTGATGGCTTCAAATTTCTCTAATTCTCATTTCTTAATAATCATTAAAATGCTGTTTCTTTAGAACTTGAGAAGTATGATGGGCATTCGATCCTTGTATCCCACTAGAACTCTGCTCACCTTTAAAAAAGTACACAGATTTAACAGCATGACTTTTAGTTTTAGTGGCCTGCTAGTGGGGCAGATTTTTATTAACAAAAGATTATGTTAGTGTCAAAATCGAATAAATTTTTATGAGACTTCTCAAAATATTTTTCATAACTTAAATCAATGTTAAAACTTTCAGCCTACTTAAAGGCTGCTAAGAAGGTTCTGTGACAACAGAAAAGCACACCTGTAACAAGCAGAATTCATTACTGTTTTCAAACCTAAATTTAAAAACCAGAATCAGCTGTACTTAATTCTTTATCTTTATACTATAGCTTTTCAATGTAATTGAGATGTTTGGATAAAATAATTTTTGTGGCAATTGAAAGGCCAGCACTTCAGGCCAACAATAATATCTATAAATTTATTTTTATTTGTCTGCTGGAGTAGTAAAACCCTTCAAGTGGTATTCAGCCAACAGGGAGTATATCAGAAATGGCATTTGCCATTAAGTCATTGTGATTTAATGTGATTTCATTTAATATACATACTTTATATATTTCAAGAAATTCTGAGTTTAGATTTCACTATGCTTTCCTGCTTTATTTTACTGAGTAAATTTATAACTACTTAGAAGCAACTGTGGTGCACTGACAAAGATGAATTGGTTACAGTATGCAAGAGACTCAAATAAGACACCCACATCTTGAAAAGTATATACTTTTTAAATGCTTTAATAGCTATAGGGAAAATATTCCTGAAAGATTGTAATCAGTTAAATGTTTTTCAGTGCCTATGTAAAATCAAGAGGCAAATCTTTTTTTTCTCTCAAGAGTCTCACTGTTTTGCTTAAAAGCATGTCTGAAGCCATAGATTCTCTGGACTAGACATGAAGTGATTTTCAAAATGCAGGATTGGTCTCAGATATGTGGCATTTGTAAAATGCAGCCTAGAAATAAGAAGAACAGAATGACTATTCCAGCCAAAATGGTTTGTAGTTACTTTCCAACAAGATTGTTGCTGTGAACAAGCAAAAGGTTACCTGTCTAATTATATGTTGAGATGTCAAAATCAGTCATAATTTAGAGGAGCTGGAACATATGAGTGATGAAAACTTGTATTTTTTTCATTGGAGTGCTGAGCTGTGCTGGCAATTGACTCAGGTCTCATGTTACTTTTATTTCTAGTCTTTGCTTTGCTTTCATTCCACTTTCTTTGCATCAATAACTTCACTAACCAAAGCTTTCTATTGTACAAAACTCTTGGGATAAACATTGGTGACACAATTGTGTTGCACTCATGTTTCACTGGCACTTTGGCACTGAAGTTACTTGTAAGAGTTTGCACCAAGACACGCAAGTTTTATATTCTGCTGCCTTCTGATCCTCCTCATGGTGGCCTTAGATTATCATCCAAGCAGGAATGGATTTCAACAGAAGTAGCAGCAGCTCCTGTCCCATCACAACTACTTTTTTTCCCCCAAGAAAGATCACTGTTAACATCTTCAGTTTCTTCTGAACGACTGTCAAGAATATGCTTTTTTGTGTACTGTGGTGCTTGAAAGAACATTATTGAATTGAAGCCTTACATGAAGCATTTGAATTCAAAGAATGAGGGGTTTTTTTAACTTTTGACATTGCACCCTTAATGGAATGTTTTAAAGAATTTTGTGTGTCTTAGGAGGTCAAAATCTGACTGGAAACCTGAAAATATATTTACTGGTATAACATGATACTCATGTATACAAAATCTTTATGGCTCTAGACTTAAATATTTCACTAACTTATAAAGTGCACATTTTGCAGTTTGGAATTTCATTTAGTCACAAAGGTATTTTGGCCATCTCCAGCTACTGTATGCCGATTTTTGTTTGTTTGTTTGCCTCAATGTATTTTTCATGTTTAAGCTTAAAATAATTTTATTGGTTTTTTATGACCTTGTTTACTGTTTCATCTACTTGTATATGTTGAAACATGGTGTTCCCTACTGTTACAGAATGAATCCAGAGAGCATATTGTTGCCTTCAACATGTTAAATTACAGAGCATGCAAAAATCTTTGGAAATCTTGTGTAGAGCATCACACATTTTTTCAGGCAAAGAAGTCACTACCTCATGAAAAAAAGATATTATCACATTATTGGACTCTGGGTTCTAGAAATCCAGCAAAGTAAGTATTGTGTGAAAGCATGTTTTGCTCTATGATGGGAATGGGAAGATTTGTGTCAGTGGTAGCTCAAGTTGTAGTGGCAGAGTTCAGTCCTGTCCATAGCTTTGTTCCAGTGTATATATGAACCATTTGACAAGTTATATGGTTGTGGTTTCACTTTCTGCAATGTGATCTATTGCAGTAGAACTTTTCTTATAATTGCCTCAAGAGGTGTTTGGATATACATTTTACTGCTATTTTTTCAATTTACTGCTTCAGTCTGAAGTATAAAAACACTGGAAAGGAAAAATGTCATGTAGCTAATGATCCAGTAAGAGAATTTGCAGAACAGATTTGTTTTGAAATGTTTAGCCATTAGTGTCATATACACATTCTGCTTAATATGTTAGGGCAATTTCTAGAGTGCATCATGCCAACCACTTATTGCTGACATAAGGTTGAAAAACTTTCCCATTCAGGTATTCAAAATTCCCCCGTTTGTGACACTTCTAAGTCTTTGTTTGCCTCATTGGATTCTTCTAGTTACAGAGCTGGTAGCTTCCTAGTGTTGTCTAAGATCTAGTTACCCAAAAGTAATTCTTTAGAGCCTGTACATTTCCAATATGAAGCTGGGATTATTCCTCCCTGTATGGAGTAACTGGGCCCTATCACCATAAAAGTTAAGCTGCCAGTTTATTGTCCAGTCACTTGACATGACTCCATTTCTTTGCAGTTGGCCTTTATTTTGGCCATCCTGTGTGATTTTTGAAGTGGGAGGTATTGCTCAAGTAGTTCTGCTCTTTTATCTTAGTGGCTTTTAGACTTTTTTTATAAGTATCAGTCACAGTGATTTTGTCCGTTTTGTTGATTCGTTCTGCTGTTACTTTTATCAACAATTCAGCTACAAAGGTGTCATGTCCTGTGTCTTCATTGTCTCGTCCATCCCATCCCAATCCACCTACCCTATCCCCAAAAACATTCTGTAATGAAACATATAAAAAATATTTAATATTAATAGTGAATTAAGAAGAAAGTCTTGTGTCATTATCATCTCTGGATGTGAGATTCTGGGGGGTTCTTTGACCCTTTGATGACCTATAGACTCTCTAGAAACCTGCTTGTTCTCATGATTTTTGGAGAAGTATTTTATTGTTTTCTTTTTGTTTGTGGGTAGTGTGTTTTTGTGAGTTTTTTGTACTGTGTTCCCTTAACAGTTTATTTTACATTTATCAGACTGATTTTCTGTCTTCTATTTGAATAAGCTTAAACTTCTGAATGATACCAACATGCTCCAAATAGCTTCTCTGACTTTGGTGGCTCTCTGGCTTTTCGCGCTCTGGCGTCTCTTTTGATACTGCAGAAATTAATACCAAGTGCAGTGGTATTGCTTGTAAATGAAGCAATTAATCCATGAGGGCTGTCCAACAGTAGGAATTCTGATAAAATGTTAAGTTTTCTGATGGAGTGTAATTCCATGTTTTCACTTAGTACTAGATCATAGCTGGATGATCTGTTTTCTAGATCATGATAAAAAAGTAGCTGTACAAACAGTATTTTTATTTTCTAACATTTTACAAATCCCAATTTTTAGAATTAGCTCTTATGACCTTGTTTTTCTTGTAGTGGTGTTGTTGAGGAGGTGACTCTCAGGGTTGGTTGGATTGTCAGGTCCTTTTTTTCTTTCAAATTTGCAAAGAGATTCAAAACCCTGATCCTTCTACAGACAGATATATATGCACAAGCTTTTTTAATGTTAATAAAGAAAACAGTATGAGTTCCAAAGGGTACCAGTTTAGTATCATTCCATTTTTTTACCAAACATTTTATCTTTGACAAATCTGCTGTTAGAATTTCTTAATAGTCTGTAGCATACAGAACAGTTCTCATTGCTGATCTGAATTGCTAAGAAAAAGTTCTTTTCAAGTAATTTCAATGCTCTGAGGCATTGTCTCTGCTGAATTGCTTACTTAAACTTTTAAGGAATCTCCAGAGGAGGAATCAGTTATGGAGATACCTTCAATCAGCTTAGTGATAACCTCTTTGGCCTTATTTATACCAGCAGTAAGCTGGGAATTTTAAGATCTACATGAGGAAGAAGTAGCTCAGAAACCTTGCTATGAAAGACTGCTTAACTACATAAGAAGCAACAGTAATTTTAAAAAACTCTGAGTAGTTCCTATGAACTCAGCAAATTATTTTCTCAAAAGGCTTAAGAAAAACTGTGAAAAAGTAACTTCTGAGGTCATATTTCACATATTGAAGATTTTTACTTTCCCACTTGTTTATGATTGTGGAATGTTGTAATATTTTCCATGTTCTTTTTCAAGGATGGCTCTGAACTCATGTGGAAGCTACACAACCAAAAAAGAGATTCTGCATTATCCCTTGTGAAAGGGAACAAATTTTTGCATTGTATAAATCAAACAAGCACAAACAGACAAAACATGAAAACAAACCATGAAACCAAATGTGCGCACAAAAACTCCACCGACCACATTGTGCAGTCCTGGAGGTTTTAAGATTGACTTGTGTTTAATAATTCTTTTCATGCTTTGAAGGATGCCACATTCAGGTTTTACCATCTTAAGTATCACAAGTTTTCCTATGGAATTTTTTGCTTTCTTGTTCTATGTTCTTCTATAGTTCTGTGAGGCAGATAGCCTAGCATTTATTGCATCAGTTCAAATAGTTGCAGCACTTGAGTACAATTTCTTACTTGCATATACCTGTGCCCTTCTTGATTCTCTTAGCTTAAGGTACTAGAGGCATTCCATTTAAATTAGGCTGCTGAGTTGCATAAATCACCTGTAAGCCTTGTTCAAGGAGCAGACTGAATAACATCTCCCAGATTGTGAGAGGTAAATTCTGGACTGAATGCTGAATAACTTCTCCTAGCCACATTCTTATTACTTATTGAAAAGCTAAAAATGTATCCATATTTTTCACCGAGGATAGACTCAGTAATAGATTGTAGAAAGGAAGAATAATTTCAAGATAGTACAGCCCATCCCAGGAAGGCTTTGGCAGCCTCCCAGAATGTTTGCTTGGAAATATGCTGATATTTGGCATCTGAAGGGCAGCTGCTTGAAGTTCAGGAGATTATTTATCTTCTTTGCCTTAACTGAAATATCTGGAGACATACCCTATAAGTGATTTTGTGGTCAGGATCAGGGGTTTAAGATTAGAGTTTGGGTTTAGGGTTCTGGCTTCTATCATGTGAGTTATGTTGCACTTCAAGTTGTCTGTGTTGGAAAATGCAACAACCACTTGTAAAAAAGCTGATTAATGTGGAGTTCTTCACAATGCATTTTTCATAATGCATCCCATTTTCCAGTCTTTCTCTCTGCTCCACCTATGTAAGGCTTCTTTGAAAGAACTCTGTTTCTGAAGAAGATGAGTAGCTGGTACCTTGTCATAGTATTCAAAAGTCTCAGAAAAATAAAATGGGTAGTATAGCCAAAGCTTCTCCTGAGTTGATGGACTTCGTTTACTATGCATGAATTTTTATTTTTTATTTTTGCTATGTCAAATTGAGACTTTTCAGTTCTGAAGCAAGGTCCTTACATCTGCTATCCCAGTTGACCCTTACGTACTGTACAGCTCAGGGCTTAATAAGCCAAAGGTGTTTTCTCTGTAACTAATAAACTGTTTCTTCTATGAGAAATCCTTGGCCTGTAAACTCAAGGATGAGCAGCTTATCTCTCACCTTGGCTTGTGGAATGCTGTATAAAATGATGCATAAGAGTTAATTTATCTCTATTTCAGTCTACTTAAAGATTTTCTTTATGCTGTGTATTTTCACTATTAAGATCCTTTTATTGCTTTCCTAGCTGTGGTTCTTATCCTGGTGCAGCCCTTTACTTGTCAAATTCTTGTCACAAGAAGCAGTCGAGACCTGGAGATCCTATTTTCATTCAGATATTTTTTAGTGGTTTATCTCTATAGGGAGTACATCACTCAAAAGTGGCTTCCTTCCGCAATAGTGTTGTCTGGTGTAGCTCTTAATCGATGAGGCGGCCGGTAGATGGGTAAAGTTGTCCTGTGCTCAGTGAAGCTCTTGCTGAATTGTTACCCCTTTGTGAATATTAATTAACAAGGAAGCTTCAGAACATATTACCTGTATTTGAACTCTATTTTGTCAGACACTCAGTTTAGTGCCAGTAGGACATAGTGAATTTCCTGTTTTCCCTTCTGTCTTCTTAAACACAATTGGGTTAAAAATAATTCTCAGAAGAAGTTATTTTTACCCAGGCTTGTGATTAGCAATGTAGCAGGGATTAACAATCACTTTTATTGTTACAAATGAGGGACAACAAATGTCTCTGAGAATGTAAATGTATAAATAAGGAGGGGTAAGTAAGCACAGGGGATGTTTTAAATTATGAAGTTGACTTTCATAAGCATATTTTATTTCATTTAAATTTTCTATGCAAAATAACTCACATATAATTGTTTTATATCTTTTCAGGTCTGTAAACAACCAGTTCTGCAGAAAAGTGATAGGTGGGATGGTTTGGAACCCATCCATGAGACGATCCTTATCAGTTGAGCACCTAGAGACCAAAAGCCTTCCTTCTCGATCACCTCCTGTTACCCCCAATTGGTAAATCCATTTTCAGCCTTTTCCACACCTTCTAGCCTCCTAACATTTCTAATTGTATGTACTCCAGCAGAATAGTTGTATAGTGTGTACATACATATTTAAACACTTTTATTCTGAGAATATATATGACAACAGAAGGGTGGGTATCACTTACCTCAACTTTAGCAAGGCTTTCATGCTGTCTGCCAAAATCTTATACCCAAGTTAAGACACTGTTTCTGGACATCCATACCTGGACAACAGGGTGGTTTAAAAAATATGTTAAAATGGTTGGATGACTGGACTAAGAAGTGAGTTGTTAATGGGTCACACTCTAACTGGACAACAATAAAAAGTAGATGACTACAGGGGCTCTCTTGGGACCTGTCCTACTTAATGTCTTTATGACCTGGAGGAGGCAATGAGAACTTGATCATAAAGTTTGCAGATGGCACCAAACTGGGGGGGTGTCAATAAGCCTGGGGGCAGGGCTGCTCTCCAAAGTCATCTCGATAATCTGGTGAAATGGGCCAATAGAAAATGTGTGAAATTCAATGGAGAGAAACTTAGTGTCCTGGGAAGTAAGAACCCAGTGTAACAGTATTGTCTGCAGTGCGGCTTTCTGGAGAAAAACTGGTAATCTTTATAGGCAGAAGTGGTACAGGAGCCATCTGGTGTGCCCTGACAGTAAAGAAGTCCAACCTGGCAGAGTTAACAGAGTCTTACATAGTAGGACAGTGGAAGTGGTAGCCCCCTTTGGCTCATCATCCTCTAGATTTTATTAGAATGCTGCAGCCCTTTTTGTCTGCAAATACAAGAGAGAAACAAACAGGACCAAGCTCAGCAAAGACCAACAGCTCCAAGGTAACCAGTAGGCTGGAGCACTTACCCTGTGAGGAGAGGCTGACAGTGTGGCACATGTTCATTCTGGAGGAGCAGGGGTTTCCCAGATGCCTAATAACAGCCTAGGATTACTTAAGAGGAGGCCAGCTACAGGATGAGGCTGGATTTTTCACTATTGCATAGTGGGAAGATGAGGCAACAAGTATATATTGTAACAAAAGAGGTTTTGTTAGAATATAATGGAAAAACTGCTTCACCAAATGGACAGTCATTGCCTGGGGAAGTTATGTGGTCTCCATCCTTTAGATTTTTTGAGATATGAGTGGATAAAGTCTTAAGCAGCCTACTCTGGCCTTAGTTGACCCTGCTTTGAGCAGAAGATTGGACTAAATTACCCCCATGAATCCCTTCCAACCAGAATTATCCTATGATTAAAACCTGAATAATATAAGTTGCATTTTACATGGGGTGAAACATCAAATAGTTCAGTGTATTGAACCTAGCAGTGCATAATTGCCTAGTATACCATACAGAATGCTTAAAAATTGATTATTTGAAGTGAGATTTATTGGCCTGTTATGAAGATTCAGATAATAACTGCAATAGGATAGAATTTTTTCTTCTATGAAGTTTCATGACATATTCTAATCTTTCTGCTTGTGTTTGTATTCTGTATTTTTAAGGCGGAGTCCTAGACTACGTCACGAAATCCGCAAACCACGACACTCATCTGTAGATAACCTTACGAATGAGATTAGTTATATTACTGAAACAGAGGATGTTTTTTACACATATAAGTGCTCTCCAACATCAAAGGAGAGTGATTCAGAGTTCTCTCAGAACCGTAGTCCACAGAGGAGGTAAGGACTTCTGCAAACAATCTATTGCCGATTTAGATTTTTTTTAACAAAAAACCCTCAAAAAAGAGCGGTAGTGTGAAACAGTCACAATCAGTTGTAATGTTACAATGAGTTCAAATAGTTTTGTTTGCATAAGCTTTATTTTGATCAATTGCTATACTGCAAATGCCATGACACAAAATGACAAGTCAAAAACAAACCAGCCCTTCATCCCTAAACGGTACACAGTAGTTGAGCTGTTAGAGGAACTACTAAGGCATGTCTCTTCAAATCTGTAATATCCTATTTCCTAGTAGCTTTTGCAACCCTTTCCTACCTGTCAAAAACTTTTTTGAAGGGAGAACGACTAAGTGAACTTTTTCAAGAGTTCACTCGCATTCCACATTATCAGTTCAGCCTTGTCAGTTGGAAGAGGTATTGTACTTGAGTATACACAAGAACATCATAATACTGGTGGTCATCCATCTTTTTCATCTTCAGAGGAGCTGTCGATGGCTTGTCTAAAGGCAGTGTCTGCTTTTTGGCTGTATTCCTTGGGGACCAACTTTATTCTCTGCAGTGCTTTAACAACTGCTAGGTTTGCTGCCAGGACCTGAAGAAGCTGTCTTTGTGCTCTCTGATTATTTGTTGGCTCATGTATTACGTAATATGTATGGCTACAGTAATTTCTTAATGAATAAGATTATCACAGCTTCAGAAATAATGTACAAAATCATTAATTGTTCAGTCTCAAAAAGAAAGCAGCTACTTCAAAACTTGGAGCTGGGGAGAATGCTGTGTATTCAAATGCATGTTCCTGTGTAGCATTACAAAAGAAAAATGGTTTTTAGTCACGCCTAGTGACTTTAAGGCAAGGTGTTATTTTGAGAAGCAATGTCTTAATGGGAAGTGATAGGACTCACCTGCTTCTGTGACAGTGTGCAGGTACTAAATATAGCTTTAAATTCTGATTGAAACTATTTTCTTTAAATTCTATAATAATATTATTACTGCATTACAGCAGAGAATTTTCAGTAAAAGAAAGGAAAAATTGACATGTATGCATATTTGGATTTCGTCACTCTTTTGAGTATATTAAGTATTTTGAGTTTGTCACTTCATTTTTCTATATTTCTGACTAGAAAACAACTGAACCTTAATACTCTTTATTAGTACTAATGGCAGTAGTAGCCATGATAATACATAAAAGTTAGGGCTTTAGATGTTGTGAATAGTCATAGGAAACCATGTCCTTGCTGTGTTTTAAAGTTCACAGATGATACGCTTTTAGGAGCATTATCTGAGTAAAAATACTGAGAGACAGACACAAGAAGAGATGATGAGGGTAGAAGCTGTAGGCAGAAAATTAAGTTGCCATGCTGTGTTATGTGACTGGTGAATTGTGTCCTGCCAGCTAATACATTGTGGGACCTCTCTTATTTTCCTTTTTCTTTTCTTCCCCTGTAGTTTTTTTTCCTTTCCTTCCTGTTTCAGTTATCTTATGCCTACTGAGAATGGAGTGGAAAAGCCTGCCTTTATGCCTTTTCTCAAACGATGAATAAAAGGATGTTCTAAATTTGAAAAAAGCACATTAATTTCTTTTCTGAGCCTCAGTGACTCTGCTGAGTCTGAGTAATATCACTCACTGTGGAGATTTTTACTGCTACTACCTCATATAAACCATTGCTTTTCTTCTTATGACTTATCCCAAATACATTATTGTTTTTTTGAGTGTGTTTATAATATTTGATACTGTAAATGAAAAAATACCTGCATAAATCTGATTAATTAAATTTGTGTGTTTTGGAAGAAGAATGGAACGAATGATCCTTTGTTGTATTGACTGTTAGACTTTTGTGAAGTAAAATAGTCAGTAATAATTTCCTTTTTAACAATTGAGATAAAATACAAGGTAGCCATAAAAAAAAAAAAATCTCTACACTGGAGTTTGTTAGTCCACATTCCAGTTTTTTTCTTTTTGCAATCTTACAGTAGTTACTTTTTTCACTTCCCTTGTTGAAAGATGCAAAGTGAAATTAAGTATGTATGTGTAATAAAATCTTGCTTTCCATGAATGCTTTATTGATGGATGGAATCTTACCCTATCAGCTAAATCTGTTTGGTAAGAAAAAGGTTTACCTTGCATATTCTCAGTATTAAATATGGACACTTTTGCCACATATTGGGAGTATTCAGACACTAACTATAAAACACCTTTTAGTGTACTGATAAATCTTGTAAAGCCAACTACCCATTTTTGCCATGGTGGTCTTCAGTGGATTTGAACTGATATAATAGAAACATGCTATATAAAAAATCCCCCAGATTTCCAATTCCTTTTTCATTGGAGGAGAGTTAAGAGTAGCTTCCCATAGTCCTGCTAATACACATTGTCTTTAGGAGGACCATTTTTAATGCCAAGCCCACTGGGATTGTTAATAAAGGTGTTAGTTAATGCTAATTATAACTACTAAATAGCTTTGGCATGAAAAATATCTGAAACATTTTTAGAGAGCTGCTGGCGAACAGCCGTAAATACTGGCATTTAATCACTGAATGGTTATGTTTGTGACCTCATATTAATAATAATAATAATTCTGCAACAGCTTGATTTCTGTAAACATCAATTTCATTTACTGTTTTTGAAGCAAGACTCTGCAAGCTGCAGTTAGCATGGAATGTGGCTCTTGGCTTATTTTTCCAGCTGTCATCAGCATTGCAGGGGTGGGGGTAGTCTTCTCTCTTTTTCACTTTTTTGTCACAACGAGTGGTTTGTTGTTGAAGGTAGGATAGACCTACCTTCCAACTGACCTTTTGTGATAGACTGATTTTTAAGGCAAATCATAGATAAAACTCATGTACAGAGCTTGCTGCCTTCCTAATCCTGCCAAGGCACGTTTGGAACCTTGGGTATGAGAAATGTAGAAGCAGCCACTGCTGGCAAAAGTACATACACCTGCATTTATTGCCCTATACAGCTTTTTATTCTTCCTGACAATACTGGGTATATTTGTTTTCCTAATAATTGATTTTCTTCTTGCTCTATTTACTCACATATAGGAATCAATAAAGTTCTACTTTCTTTCTATGAAACAGTACACAATTTAGGAAACAAATTATGTGGAACAGCTCTTAGTTTAGAGAGCATAAACCATAGCAGTTGTTAATATTTCTTCTTCCATTTCTTTGAAGATGCAGTACCATATCAGCATGTCATCATCTAGAACTATGTTTGCTGTTAAAATCCTCTAAATGAACACGCTGGAAATGAGGGTCGATAGTATTTTGTCATTTCTTGTGTTGCTTCTCTTAAGGATATAATAATTGTTCTTAAAATGTGCTTTGTGTAAACACTATGCTTTCTAACTGAAATTTGAGGTATGTACCACAGGTTGTGGAAAAAGAAAACTGGAAAATTGTACAAACCATGCACACAGCTGAGCTACAAAAAGCCAGGGCAAGCTATTGAGCACAGTGCTAGATGCAGCTTTGCTCCTACTACCCAGGTTATGTAAGTTACTTTCACAGTCAAGAACTTGAGGTTCAGACGCAGTAAAAAAAAAGCAAATTTTCTCCTTCAGTTTAGTGTCTGCAGAAAATACTTGAGTTGTCTATTGCATCTGTATTATAGAAAAAAATTGCTCTAATCCCAAATTAACATACGTTATTTAGAACTTCATTTGTAGGGCATGAATAGGTTTGCCTATCTAAGCCAAATATCTCGAATCATTGTTTATCTTTCCTGTCAGGAAAGATAGTGCTGAAGAGGATATCAAGCGAACTTTTGTTTAGCCCGGGTCTCTCCAGCCTTTGTGAGGAAGATGTCCTCTGTCAGTTCTTCCAGTTCTTCTTCCTTTTTGTTGCCCAGTTGCTGAACATCTCAGCTGAATGCTACTGCCAGTGAAAAATTAGTGCTAGCACAGACAGGGAGCCAACACTTAGCCTTCTGAGGTCTCATATGTTGCATTCCCTGTTGTACATCACTTTCTTATGGCTATCCCTCACCAGTTCAGAGCAGGTAACCTGGTCTGTTTTCTAACTACACTCTTTCACTCTGTTTATACTATGCCTGCATGTATATATGCACATGGTACCGTAACTATTTTTTTCTAAAAATTATTTCAAAAACAGCATTGAGACAAAACATACTAATTAGTAAGTTCACTTGTTTGATAACTGTTTTTCAGGCAGAATTTGCTTTCCACAGTCTTGGCTTCTCTGAAGATGTTTTCTTTGAGAAATTTGCATTCTCTTCATTGAAGCACTGTTGCTACTGACTTTTTAAACTTCTTATCTTAAGCAAAGTGGAAAACTCTTTTTCTGTGAGGTTACATGTTCAGATGTCCTTAAACCCTGAGATATACATTAGGGAATAGTGATGAATACAAACTGGCTTTCCTTTAAGATACAAAGTAAGTTATATTATGAGGCTTTATTATTTCTAAAGTTAGCTCTGTGGAAAAGTTGCTTTAATATGGGAAGTTTTTTCAAAGTTGGGTCATATCAACATGCTACCTGGCATCAACTTATCCAGACCCTCCGGTGTCCTGATAGGCAGCCTCAATAAAGCTCCTAGAAGATGTTGCCTTTGAGAAAAGTGTTTCTCTTTCAGTCTAACAGGTTTATGCCGCAGCTGGTTATTTTTAAAGGCAGACTGATGTGCTTGTCCAGAAAATTCTTTTTTACTGCAATTTTTACTTTGTCTGGTACAGTGCTTGAAGATTACCACTGTTGCAGTCTGTCTTGATAAAGGTACCACTACAGTTTCCAGATTTGGAATAAGGGGAGACTCACAGATGTAGAGGAACAAGTCATCCTTGCTGATTTTCCTTTCCCTGTCACCACTCTGATCTGTATGCTACTGTGTCATTTAAGGGGAAAAGGTACAGGAAAAATAAAATAATCCTACTGAAGTATGTGACTTTGTTTCAGTATCAGGTTGGGAAATTCCAAAACAGCCTTGATTTATGCAGTAACCTTCAAATCTTACTCACAATATAGGAAAACTTGGTTTTAACTGG